AATGAGGGCCACAGGTTTGTTAGCCACTGGCTATTAAGCGAATAAGTGAACTCGTGAAAAAAGGGCGGACGGTTCCCAATGCATTGAATTCCATTTCCATTTCCGTTTCCCAGGGCGACAAGCAAAAACCCATATAACATAAGTTTTTATGATTCTGCAAACACTCACATTATCGATGAGAATTTCTGCTATTCCATGGCTGTTGCTCCTGGCCGTCTTGTGCAGGGGTGTAGTCCACTCAGAATCCACCAGCAATATTTTAGCTATTGTGTTATCTTTTTCAACAAGAAACTTAACGATATTTACAGAGCCTTGTTCACAGGCCAAGTGAAAGGCTGTCATACGGTCTTTTCTCTTGAAATGGTTTTAAAAGAAAGCAATTGGAAAAATAAATATATAATGTATAACGCATCAGGAGTTCCGCGCTACTCCTCTAAGCGCATGCTCAAGGGGTCAAGAAGTGGGATCATAGGTTGTAAAAATTGCTATATTTTGATATTCTCGACTTTCACATCCCCATAATCCTTTGCGTCTTTGGGGGGTAACCAAAACCCACTTATTTTGCTGAAGGCTGATCAGACAATGCTGAAAATACCTTGTTTGGTATCCAAAGGTAAAATGAAGAAGTAAAAAACAGAAAAAGATAGAAGCTTGAAGACGTTTAAGGTAAATTTTAAACATTTTTACGTAAGTCAATACATTTTCTGTAAGACCAAAACCCTTGATGATCTGTACATGCAAAAATAACTTGGAATAAACTGATAATCAGTATTGTACAGATAAAAGCAGGTATAGTATAAATTCAACTAAGAAACCTTTCAATTTGGGACAGTTTTTTGATTGGGAACCCCCCCAAAACGCAAGGCATTATGGGGATGTGAAAGTAGAGAATATTTGATTTGGAACTATCTTAATTCTACTTGCTCTTGAATATTTAATGAAAATTGTACTTGGAAAGGAAAATACAATTATTATTATTATTATCATTATTTTGGTGGATTTAAAAAAAACAAAAAACAATTGAAATAGAGCATAGTGTGCACCTATTTCAAAAACTGCGTTGTCGGTCGGAGATTTGAAACCTGAGACCGCGAAGTGAATTGTGGGCTGTGAGCGGTTAATTATCTTTTATTTAGAAATAACAGTTCACAACAAATTGCGGATCTCAACCGGGCAACGTTTATCGAAATAGGTGTATGCTCGGCTGGTAACATCTTCTATTTAAAAAAGTACTTACCCTTGGCTGTCTTATAATTGCTCCATATTCCACGCATAGTTTCACGACCTTTAGTCAAATAAAATAGTACAATTGAAAATAACGAAAGTCAGAGGGGGCATAGTGTTTTACCGCTCGCTGATCGCCGCTGTGTTCCGGATTCGATGTTCGGCTCAGACTGGATCATACGTGAGTTGAGCCATTGTGTTGTTCTCTCACATGCCACGAGGGTTTTCTCCGGGTTCTCCGGTTTCTTCCCTCCGTAAAAATCAACATGTGAGTTGAGTGTTGTATGTTGTAAATATAGAATGTAGACGTGGTGGTGCGTGTGGAACGAACCTCACGGAGAGAGGTTAAGTTAATAGTTCTGACAACGACAATCAGTCCGATGCTCAGAATTCCTACATTGTAATTTGAAAATTGTCGTACGCTTTCTAGTTTCTGATTTTGGCTCTGTTAAGTAGGCATTTCAGTGTTAGACACTGCAGTATCGYACGTTTTCTGAAGTGAAAGAAAACCTTTCACAGGGAGACTAACTTTCGCCATTGTATTTTGAACAGTGTCTTGCGCTTTCTAGTTTCTAATTGGCTCAGGGAGAGGGAGACTTACTCAATTGGAAGTTTTGCGCATACTTACCTCAAGAAAACCACTGTCGACCGCCAAATGCAACAGCGTTGTTCCATCGTAATCAGCATCGTACAATTGCTCCATGATATCCATACCTTCATTGGTCACTAGTAGAGACAGTAACATCCTTTAAAAAACAACCACGCCCTATTTCTATTGTTTGATGTCGGGTTTAAAATTTCGATGGAAAAACTGTCCCGGGTTTTTGATTAGGACGTTTGCATGATGGCGTCATTTGATTCCCACTACCAAAATACTTCGCGAATTTTCTTTCTTATTCAAATATATATTTCCTCGCGAGAATAGTAAGACAATTGGTGCTGATTAACTGAACAAAAGAAAGTGTGCAAGGGATTCTGGTAGTAGAGGTCAATGACGCCATCGTTCAATCGTCCTATTTATCATTGATACTAACAGAGAAGAGCGGGGCTGAATTCAAAACAATTCAAACCCTCGCCCTAGCGGGTTTTTTTTCTTTTTTTTCTTCTTCTTTTTTTAATTAAACCAAAGACATATTTTCGGACAAAAAGCAAATCCAAAACTGGCATCTATGATGTCATGAATCGATAGTTTATATAAAGGTTATTTTCAAATGACGTTTATTGATAGCTATCGATCTATTGACAAACTTACTGTATTGAAGTAAATATTGTGCTGATTCGTTAGCGCCGGTCTCAACAGCTCGACCCAGCGGCGTTTTTCCATTCTCCTCTTGAGAGTTGATTTTAGCTCCTCGCTCGACCTGAAACAATCAACAATAAATTATCATCCGTCATTCCTCACTCCAACACCAAGGGATATGGAGATTAGAGCTTTCTATTCTTCGATTGCACGTTACGTTATCGCGGCCATGTTGGTGCCATTTAACAAAAGAKTTCTTATTAGCATCCATTGTTAACGGCACCACAATGGCCRCCATGCTTTTGTCTTTTAACTCTCTTGGGAATGCTTGCAACCCATAAATGTTGTTGCTCCAAAGACGTGGAAACTTCCTCTTGATTTAAGAGTGCATAACATTTTGGAACTTTTTAAAAAAAAGCCAAAAACTTTTCTTTTCAAAATGTGGTAGACCTTTTTATTTAGTTTTATTTATGTTTATATCACCCAATTATGATTTTTGAAAATTTCTTAATGTAAATCGTGCCTATTTATAGAGACAAGAATTATGAACGCTATGATATCAAGTGAAAGACGCAAAATTCTTAATTCAGAAATATTTCGAGAATTCTTCATAAAATATATGAAAATAAGTTAAGGATTCCTTAAATAATTGTTTTTGTATATAATTCTGGAAATAAATACACATAATGAATAAAAACAAAGCTACCACAGCGTGACCTTGAATGAACTTGACATGATAAATGCATTATCTGTAGGAAAACCTACAGATAATACATTTATCATGTCGAGTTCACACGATATCAGGGATTGGCTGAGAGCTCTCGACCAATCAGAATTGAGTAAAATGTATAATAATGATATATGATGTATTGCTTGCATTCAAATACTGGTAGACCACTTTACCAATTAATTTCTTCTCATGCACAACCCGCGTTAAACAAAGCAATGATACTCAAGGAAATGATACTAATATACTAGTTATTCACTTATGAACACAAATGTCTATCATGATTTTTCTCAGCGCATCAAGAATATATGACCCACTCACCAACAGTTTGCAAAGAGCAGGTCTATTCTGACAAGCGGCGAGGTGAAGTGGAGAATTGAGGCTGCTGCCTTTAACATTAACGTCACATTCTGGGTGCGACAGAAGGACCTAAAAAAATAGTAACTCTGAGTTTAATTTACACGCTCTGGGGACACATGTTTCATGTTGATTGGAAGATATTTCTTTGGGTTCTCCAGTTTCCTCCCTCCAAAAAACCAATGAACTAGGCAATTCGATCTGTGAGTTCGCCGTGCCCTGACTTATAGATCAGCTCGGAGTTTGTTTCAGGGTTCGATCTAGCTCTGTGAGTTAGTCACACCCTGACTTAGATCAGCTCAGATTTTGTTTCAGGGTTCGATCTGTGAGTTAGCAATGCCATGACTTATAGATCAGCTCAGAGTTTGTTTCAGGGTTTGATCTGTGAGTTAGCCATGCCCTGACTTAGATCAGCCCAGAGGTTGTTTCAGGGTTCGATTTGTAAATTAGCCGTGCCTTGATTTTGATCAGCCAATAGGGTCTTCATATTTCAGGGAAAGCCAGGACATTTTCAATGCAAAACTGTCATCAAACAGTTACCTTAATCATTTTGGTATTTCCACTCCTTGCTGCAAAGTGCATTGGGGTATCTTCTCTGTCGTCCTTCAAGTTAATGTCTGCATTTGCTTCCAACAGCATCTCCACCATCCTGACATCGCTTCTAAGAATGGCGTTGTGGAGCGGAGCTCTCCCGTAACTGTCTGGCATATTAACATCTAGGAAACAATTTAAAAATTCCGTGACGGTAAGGTCCTGGCTGAAGGAGAAAAAGTTTTTCCAGAAAGATGTTTCCTTACATTTTTCTAAATAAAGGTGGGAAAACTGTCAGGAAACCTCGGGTAATATGTTTACTCAACATCAGTTAGCGCTTGCGCACTTTCAAAACCCTTGACCGCCATCTTGTTTTGACGAGATAGAGCGAGAGTTGCTAAGTAACGAGCTTTTAGAATGTTGACTTTCATGACTTAACGAGAAAACAACAGAAGTATGCTCAAAATTTTTCTGCCGCCAATTTGTTGCTTGCAGCATGTGGTTTTGCATGTGGCTACACTTGGAAACATTAAAAAATCATGCGAGCGGTAAACATGATGTAAACATGTTTCCTCGTTTGGCCAGGGCCTAATGGGTAATGTAAATATGGCGAAGGATTTGACACAAGCCACAAGGGATAGAGTAACTCACCTATACATGTTTCCTCGTTTGGCCAGGGCCTAATGGGTAATGTAAATATGGCGAAGGATTTGACACAAGCCACGAGGGATAGAGTAACTCACCTATACTTTTTTGCTCCAGTAATCTTGACAGAGCATCAACGTTTCCTGTCATGACAGCTTCGTTCAACTTTTGTGCTTTGGATTTATACACATCATTATCCTCCTTGATAGTAAAAMTTCTGAGTTAGTTGACAGTTGACTCAGTAGTGTATGCAATTACGAAACGAGATAGGGAACTGGTCATAAAGTAAAGGGGAGGTAAGGGGGGAGGGGTGGCGGGTAAAAATTGATTTGAATCAGCGCTGTTTAGTGTTTTTGCTGGCCCAGTATGGCACGAGGTCGAAAAAAATGATTCCTCCTCCCTCCCCCCTAAGTTTCCATGCGGCAGGAAATAAAAGTGGCCCACCCCTAACGTACAACTTTATAGACAGTCCACTTCTTTTAAGTATTTCGAAACTGTGTGAATTTGGGGGGAGCAAAACACCCCCCCCCCCCCCCCCACTTAGAACCACGTCCCTGCAAATACGACGGGTTTAATGATCAAACTTGTAATCATATACGAGTGAATACTCCCGCGTAGAGTTTCTCGTTTGTTCTCTCCTCTGCTGCTTTGAAGGTTTTTCTAGGTTTTCCTATTTTTCCACACTTAATCAGAAAGTGTCCAACAAACTCCCATGATCAAATAATTATTGATTTTCTCGGAACGAGCAAAACCGAAAAACTCGGGAAAAAACTTTTGAAGCTCAGGAGGAAATCTTCTACTGATAAATACTTCCAAATTCTATGTAATTCGAGCCAATGGAACATGAGCCAATCATAGGAAGGGTGTGGACGAAGCGGAACTCTTCAAACAAAAGTAAGACATATAGGAAAGAGTGCTGTTCAAATAGGCCCACTCATGGCGTCGTTAACTAACACTACCAGAATTGCTTGAACACTTTGTTTTGTTCAGCAATTGTCTTACTTTTCTCATGAGGGAATAAATAAAGTGAGAAAATTCTCCATGTGTTTTGGTAGTAGTAACAAAATGACGACATCATGCAAATGGTCTTTTGCAAAAACAAAACAAAACAAAACAAAACAAAACAAAACAAAACAAAACAAAACAAAACAAAACAAAACAAAACAAAACAAAACAAAAAAACAAAAACAAAAACAAAACAAAACAAAAAAACAAAAACAAAAACAAAAAACAAAAAAACAAAAAAACAAAAAAACAAAAACAAAAAAACCACTTTATTCCCACCTCGAGCTCTTCCAATTCATTTGATTTTGGTTCCTCTGAATCGGAGCCCATTGAGATACGAGTCAGTTTTCTTTGCCTTTCTTCATATTTGACGTCCAGCCCTTCATTCACTTCGCCATTCTGTGTTAACTCCATGTTGTTTAAAGAAATTGATCCATTGTCATTTACGAGTTTACTTTTCTGTGACATTTTTTCCTGTGAATGAGAATGGAGCGTTTATTATTATTTACATGGGGAAGGTTTGGGCTGCATGTAACGTCATGATCGCCATGTTGGTTGACGATAACAAAGCATTCCTCATTAGCTTCTCTTGTTAGATCAACCAACATGGCGGCTATTTCATTGTTATTTTTATCTTAAGGAATTTTGAATCTCGTGGTTGCACCCTGCAAGGATTCTTTACGCAATAGCTTCCTAGCTTTGCTTGTTCTTATTTCAATTTTCATTCATACTTTGTGCTCTCTTTCCCACAATTAAGTGTATGCCTCCCATTTCACTTGCCCCAGAACCCCTCCTCGATGAAAATCCCCTTCCCTGCCATGCTCTAGCCTCAATCAAGTATAATCTAGTCTTATTAGTTTAGTTTAGTATATCTTTATCCTTTTGGCAGTAGAACTGAGTGAAGGTATTTAACCCGTGAAATAGATATTAAACTAATACACTTTAGTAGACCCTAATTCCATTGTTTTCTTTTGTGTCTATTTGACTATTACATGTTAACTAGTATTTTTTTATTTCACTGGTTAAATGCATTTACTCTACAAGGTAGTCAGCTAATATGACTATATTTAACAATTATTAGTCAAATGCGAAGTAATTATCGGTCGAATATTATATTTCTCGCATTGTGATTGGTCGAGTGACCAGTGATTGTGAGACGACAATCACTCGAGCGGTGATTATGAGGTTTTCAAAAGTGTTCCAGATCTGAAGTAATACTAAAACGTTTTTTTATCCTGAATTTCGACTTTCTGATATTCAAGTCTAAAATTATACTAAAATACATTATTGATAAATAAATAAATTATTCATAGAAAGATATAAAGAGGACAGTACATGACTTATCATAAATTAGTTTAGCATAATTTGATCCAGATTTCCCCTTGGCTGGTCACACCGTCAGGTAATATTTGTTTTAGCACATTTTTCTCAACTGTCTTATCAATATATAGGGATCAATTTAGTTCATTGGCGATAGCGGCAATGATTCTAAGTAAACTGTAAACTACGTCACTTGAATTGCTATTAGATCATGTCTTTCGTTCAGAAAAAAAATTTAAGCCTTTCCTATCCTAAGCAATGATAAATTAACTGTTAAAGTTTCTAATTTTTATTCTATTCTGAATAAATAAATCAACTACGTTTCAAAAGCATTTACAGTAGAACCTCGATGTATCGTTAACGATCCACATACATGCAGCCTAGAGGAAGGGACCTTCCATTTGAACACTAAAATCACAGCATGGCACCCAGGAAATTTTGTTATATATTATATTTTGAAATTAACGAAAATATTTGCCTAAGAGTTCCAAACTATACTTAATTCTATGCGATTACAAAAAATAACACTTCAAACGATGTCTTCAACGGAAAACGTACAAAAAAGCAAAACAAAGATACGAATTCGGTTTATTTTAAATTATTTGTCACTATCGAAATCATAAAATTATTGAACTTATGATCCAAAATGTCATCCAAAGATAAACTTTATAAAAGTTATGATATTCAATACAAACTGAAGTTCAACTAAAGTTGTGTCGACATCATAAAGTTATGTAAATAACTCAAACGATATGGCTATAATTTGTATTTCAATTTCGTCAAAAATTCAACCCGAAAAACTTTTCTATTTAAATTTAAGTTTGGTATATTTACTTACTCTCTGCTTCCCCAACGAAGAGGTTAAGTTTTCTGAAGTTTGTTGTTATCAATTTTTCATCAGGTTTATTGCTTGTCTCAAGCAAGCTATTGTCCTTTACAAGAGAGGAAATATGCAATGGACTATGAAATCAGGAGATGGATTCATGCCTTCATTCCAGTGTGCATCAAGCATAACTAAAATTGCTTAAAAAGAATATATTTAACAATTATTCGCCGAARGCAAAGTAATTATTGGTGAATAATTTACCGAGCCGCGAGTAATCAAGAATATATCATGATGCATTGAATTGATGCATGAGTTTGTATACATATACTAATTTTAATAAAGTTAGTCACCAAAAACCTAGAAAGCTGTGATCGCTGAGAATCATTGGGAAATGTTTTATATCCAACAAGTAAAGCTTTTGACACAAACTGCAGCAGTTAAGGATGCTCAGAGGAGGTGAACTTGTAAACTGGTTGAAGATCTCAAGTCAATCAACAGTTATCAAGCGGTTGAAACATGTGAAATGTAGGTGTGACTAACTTTATTGAAATAAGCGTATTTGAGCCAAGAATTATAAAGGTTTAAARCACTTCGGTCAAAACGTATCGTTTATAAAGAACTTAACTGACACTACATTTAAGTTTACAGTTCCGTTCAGTGACCATGAATAATAGTTCCAAGGCGAGGTTGGAGTTGCCGTGCATGATTAAAAGCATAGTTTTGCTATGCGTGGAAACTCTTGCCTCGACTTAGGACTATTATGTTAATCGAAGTATTATGATCATCCGGGTGGATGTAGTCCTGAAAAGGACTGATTAGTGACTTTTAGGTGTGCCCCACAGGTCTTCTTTGGGCCCTTTAAAGTGGGGAAATTCCTTTTTTCTGGATAGTGATTTCCMTTTTCTAAGCATGACCCGTCATGACGCTCTGTGCCCCACATATCTTTGGGTCCTTTAAAACAGAAACTACCCTTCTTTCTGGGTATATGACGTCCCTACTTATTTGACAATTCCACCCCACTGCGGTTTTTTGGATTCCTAATCTAAATTACCATCCGGATCTTTTAAAAGTTTTTAAAACATTTCGATAGAAATACAAGCATAATTCTAAAACACCGCGGTTTATTTTTTTTAGGTGAACGTAAACCTATTTAATAAATACCAAGTAATATTTCTAAAAATATTTTCGACTTCGGGTATCATATTAATAAAGGCACAAGCCATGTTCACGTAATGCAAGCACGTCAGCTAAAATTCAAGAAGCGTATTCAGCATAGCTATTATATCTAAGATGGTGTGATGTTAGGATTAAACAGCATTATGTTTATCGGTAAGTAATTGACCCAGTTTGATGAAGTTAGTCGTAAAATCTAGGGTTTTATCTCGAAGGCTTTTCAAATTTTATCTAACCCTGAAACAAACTCTGGGCTGATTTAGGTTGTCGCATGGTTAATTAACTCACAGATCCAGTCCTGGATCAACCTTTAGCTGATTGATCAAAGCCATGCTACGGCGCGCTAAGGTCTAGGGCAAACGTCGAACTTTCCATGCACCGAACTTAATTACATCAAAGAATGCTGCCTCATTATCACCGCCTGATATCCATTGTTTTTAATGAGTGTGGTGCATGGAAAGCTCGACGTTTGCCCTAGGCCTAACTCACAGATCGAATTGGAATTTTGCGTGTTAGGTTTTTGCGGAGGGAGGAAAAACCAGAGAAGCTGGAGAAAAAACTTCACTTGGGATGTTGAGTGCGGGAATCGAATCCGTGCTAGTTCCCAGAGTTGAGGCAAATGTACGGCCGCTACCTTTCGAAGCCTAGAATTCATCTATTTGTATATTATTCGTTGCTTTAAAAAAGTTACTACTTGGGACACATAAGATGTAAAATAATTTAACGTAATTAATACTATTTTAAATTATTGCTAATATTAAAACCAAAAATGGCTTTGATATTTTTAAAAGGACAAGAATTTTTCGATCCTATTTTCCTTTCATTCCACATTTCTTCGGCTGCCTGTTTTTGTTTTTATTAGCAAAAAAGGGCTAGCGATATAGAGCGTTTTAACTCACGCGAGAAGACAGCCACATTCATTGACGTACCAAACAAAAGAAGCTTTCTGCACAGTTTTTACATAAGAAATAGAGAATAGAAAATGTATTGTTTTGGTACGACAACATGGTCGCTATGACATCACGTGAAAACGCTGTACTGACTGCATCTTTCCTTTTCTTCAGTCTTTTATCGCCTACAAGGACGGATAGATGCAGTAGTGCAATGTTAAACGTTTCTACTGAGACGTTTCGCATTTGTTAAGAAGAATGGTTTAAAATTATTAGTTTATGCTGATGAACAGAACATGGCAGGGAAATCGGGTTCCAGGCAAACAGTGTATAAAATGTTGAAAGAGTTGAAGCTAAAGCAGAAATAATAGCAATAAAACACTTTTTTAAAGTGGCCCACAAATTCAGTATATACTGGTTTCCAATTTGGCCCACTGTCACTCACACCCACATCACAAATTGCTTCATACATTAAAATACTATTATATTAACTATACTGAAAACAACAGAAAAATAACGTTTGCAGAAACGTTAAATAAAAGCAGACTGAGCAAGATGAACGAAACTTTAGGAGTAATCCAGTACCGCTCAAAAGCTGGATTTTCATTGCTCCTTAAGTACAGTACCACTTTTGTAAGGTTAGGTTTAGTGCTATTGTTTGGATGACCAATCTATTGTTTTTTAATCCAACCATGTAACTCGTTCCGAACGGTACGGGCTGGCTCACTTTAGGCGAAGCAAAGCTACGCGACGCAACTAAAACCAGCAAAAATTAAACAACAAGCAAGAAAAAAGAAAGAAAAATAACCAGGACAACAAGAACGACAAGAATAATGCCACGAACAGTAGCATAACACGTGCATCAATAAGCCTGAAGCGAGATGACGTTTTACCCCCGACTCTATACCATAATAGTTTTTAAAATTCTTTCATATTAAAATTTTTGATTCCTTAGATAATACAGGAACAATAGTCATAATTAAAGAACAAAAGCAATGTGAAAAGGATTATGGTCTAGAGACGGGGGTAAAACGTCATCTCGCTTCAGGCTTATTGATCCACTATCTTCGTGTACGAAGGCAATAGAGCATGACCCAACGAAGATACCGCTGAACCTTTAGACCTAAGACACACTACGCATGCGCGTTCTATTACGTAGAACACAGAACCTAGCAACATTTGAACCAACCATCGTTCAATTAATCTTACATTTAAAAATTAAATAAATTAAATAAATTTAGAAGAGCTTTGACTCTTGATTCCCTCCACTCTCAGTTTTTTGACCAGCGGTTTGTATATTTGGCGTCGAACTGGTGTAAACACTCCTGCGGCTTTGATGTCTCCTGGGATGGAAGAAAAGATTTGGTTAATCACAGACAGATGGGACAGGAAGTATGGACGGTTGATCACAGACAGATGGGACAGGAAGTATGGATGGTTGATCACAGACAGTTGGGATAGGTAGTGAGGATGGATTAGGAAAAGTGTATGTATGGGAAGGAAAAATGACGGACGGAGTAAGGATGTAGGGAAGGAGGGAGGGAGGGAGGGAGGGAGGGATGGATTGGAAGGTACAGGTGGCGTGCGCTCCTAATGCGTCACCTCTCACCAATGCGACCCGGGTTCGAGCTCCCCTGGTCTCGGTGTCGTATGTGTTGGTTCTCTTGTCTTCCCCCTCCACAAAAATCAACTTCAAAATTTTAATTCGATGTGTTACCTGTCGACTTGTTAGGCATTACACCGTCCAACCAGGAGTGGTAAATGCATTAGATTAGATAGATGGGATGGGATGAGAGGGAATGGGATGGGATAGGATGGGGTGGGATGGGATGCATGGATGACAGAAAACTCAAAGGGCACGAAGATTGATTGTTGCGCAGAGTACAAGGCAAAAGCTAAAGGCACCACTAGCTTACCGTCCATAACAAATTTTGTAGCAATGGCAAGTGGGATACCAACGGTCCTTGCCATGGCTGAGTAGCCGTTTGGATCACCGTAGCTTGTCATAGTAATGCTTCGTGTCTCCTGTGAAATAGGAAAAAATCGTTGTTGATTATGGAATTTGCTAACAGACTTCAACAAGAGCATCAACATCAGCATCAACAACAACAGCATCAGTATTTAGCAAGTCCTTCAGATTATGATTTGAAGGTAGATACCGTTGTTTTAAGGCAAAGGCAAGCAACGAGCTAACAGAGAGAATAAAATGACAAAAGGCCTGGTAGTACAATGGTTAAAGCCGAACTCACCATTTTCTTGTCTGGCCATTCAATTCCAATCTCATGTCGCAACAACACCAAGTCTCTTTCACCTTCCTTGTAAGCTAGTTTAGTTTTGAGGAARTGAGCCAGGGTGTCAAAGGCGTTCTTTTGTGGAACAACAGGCTCTTCTGACAGGAGACCCAAACTAGCATGATCAATAAAAACGTTAGTACACACCACAGGCACCCCACTACACTAAAATCAATTCGTACGACTGATGCATGAAACTCAGACAATAGCGAACCAATCACCGCTACAGCAGTTTACCCAGTGGAATAAGCCTGAAGCGAGATGACGTTTTACCCAGGTCGTCCTTCACGAATTTGCAAGATGTGATCCTATTGGGGGGCACACATGTGTAGAATAGAAAACAATGACCTTTCCCCAACCCCCCCCCCCCCCCCCCCCCCCCCCCAAACCTAACCAATCACAGGGGACGTTGCAAATTCGTGAAGCCTTACCCTTTTACCCCCGACTCTATATCATAATAGTTTTTAAATTTCTTTCATATTAAAATTTTTGATTCCTTAGAGAATACAGGAACAATAGTCATAATTAAAGAACAAAAGCAGTGTGAAAAGGGTTATGGTCTAGAGACGGGGGTAAAACGTCATCTCGCTTCAGGCTTATTAAAATTTTGACCCAAAAAAAAGCTTTAACGTAATAATACAAAGATAACGAAGCAATTGTCCTTCATTTTCACAGGACAGTAAACAATAGAAACAATTCGTAGTCAATTTTCCGGGATTAAAGTTTTAAATTCTGAGATATTCTAGCTAATTTGTTGAGCTTGTGGGACATAGCAACGGTTACTAAGGGGAGTCGGAACTATTAATCGTATAGGTGAAGTTAAATAAAATATAAAATAAAATGAAATATTAGGACAATAAAGTTTTTACTGACTCATGGATGGCTTGTACCCTTGCATCGTCTCTTCCAACACGATCGTGGATCAAAGACAATAGTTCTTTCATTCCTGCATCTGGTCTTCCCATCATTTTTGCTACTAGTTTGAACTAGGAAAGAAAATTTGTTAAACATTAAAACACTCCAGTCGCTTGTTGTATCCTTTCGGTTAGTTCGTTAGTTATAATTTCTAATTCGATCTAGAAAGGGCCTGGATAAAAATGTCTTTGTGTAAGTCTAGTTATCTTATCAAATCGAGTAGTGTTTTTTTGTTGTTGTTTTTTCTGTTTTGTTTCGATTTTTTTTTTTTTTTTTTTTTTTTTTT